GCCAACCCTGGCAGCCTGAGTTCCATCCCTGGTGTGCACATCGTAGAAGGAGAAAACCAACTCCTGTAAGTTGGCCTCTGACTTCATATGCACACGTAAATGAATTTTGAAAAATAAAGTTGCTTCTTATTGGTGCTGGAGAGATGGCTCAGTGGTTATGTGTCGCGACCGCCCTTGTCAGCTCCCAACAGTTATGAACACAGACTATTCTTCCAGAGGACCCAGGTTCTATTCGGAGTACCTGTATTAGGGTGACAACAAACACCTGTAACTCCAGTTCCAGGGACCCAACACCCTCTTCTGGCCTCCACAGGCACAAGGACCACGAAGACAAAACACTCATATACATAAAATAAAAACTGTAAAATATTAACCATGTTATTATTTTGGTGTTTTTGATACAGAGGACCGGAGCTCACCTGCACCAGTGACCCACAAACACCTGTGACTCCATTTCCCAGCCAATGCCCCACATCTACCTACTACATTAACACACAAGTACTTTTAAAAGAAAAAATTTAAAGTCAGGCAGTGGTGGCCCACACCTTTAAACCCAGCACCAGGGAGAGAAAGGTCAGCTGGTCTACAGCTCAGGTTCCAGGACAGCAAAGGCTATACCAGGAGACCCTATCGCAAACAAAACATCGGAGTTGGAGAGATGACTCAGTGGTTTAGAGCACTTGCTGCTTTTGCAGAGAAAGGAATCTGTATTCCATTCCCAGCACCCACATGGTGGCTCACAGCCATCCATAACCCAGTTTCAGGGGACCCAATATCTGACCTCTGTGGGCACCATGCAGGTAGGTGGTGCAGACATACATGCAAGCCAATACCTATATATGTAAAAGAACATAAATAAACCTATAAATAAAAATAAATCTGGGTGGGGTAACATCTGTAATCTCAGAATTTAGTAGGATTACCTGCAGTCCAAAGAAAGCCTGGGCTACCTAGCAAGACCTTGTATCTGAAGACAAATGAATAAATTATGAAAAAATGAACAGTTTTAAAAGACATTTATCTTAATCCCAGCACTCGGGAGGCAGAGGCAGGCGGATCTCTGTGAGTTCGTGGCCATCCTGGTCTAAGAACTAGTTCCAGGACAGCTTCCAAAACAATGCAGAGAAACCCTGTCTCAAAAAACCAAAAAAAAAAAAGACATTTATCACCGGGGAGTATGGAGCAGGAGGGTTGAATGTTTGAGAAGAGCCCAGGCTACATAGTGAGCTCTGCTTGAGAAAGAAAAAAAAAGTCAGGCGTGATGTCACACACCTCTAATTTTAGCATTCAAGAAGCAGAGGCAGGTGGATCTCTGTGAGTTTGAAGCCAGCATGGTCTATAGAGCAAGTTGCAGGCCAGGGCTACACAGAGAAACCCTGTCTCCAAACAAAACAATGTAAACAATGATGTGGAGTGTGGTGCACACCCAGTAGCCAGGGAGCTGAGGGAGGAGGCTCAGAAGTTTTGTTTCTTTTGTTTTCTTTGAGACAAGGTTTTACTGTGCAGCCCTGTCTGTACAGGAACTCACTCTGCAGACCTGGCTGGCCTGGAACTCAGAGATCCACCTGCCTCTGCCTCCTGAGTGCTGGGATTAATGGTGTGTGCACCACCAATGCCTGCCTAAGGTGAGAAAAAACCAAAAAAAAAAAAAAAGATTTATTTATTGGGCCGGGTGTTGGTGGCACACGCCTTTAATCCCAGCACTCGGGAGGCAGAGGCAGGCGGATCTCTGTGAGTTCGAGGCCCAGCCAGGTCTACAAAGTGAGTTCCAGGACAGCCTCCAAAGCCACAGAGAAACCCTGTCTCGAAAAACCAAAAAAAAAACAAAAACAAAAAACAAAAAAACAAAAAAAAACTTGTTCTCCATGCCATCCCTAGCAAGTCTCCAGACACTTTCCTGACCCCTGGCACTTGCCAGGCTGGCCTCGAACTCACAGAGATCCGCCTGCCTCTGCCTCCCGAGTGCTGGGATTAAAGGCGTGCGCCACCAACGCCCGGCCTTTACTTTTTTAATTTAGTATCAGAATCTCTAAGTTTGCCACTGTCAAACCACCCAACCAATGCCAAGACAGATACGAGAACTGTTGGGAGGTTTCCTGGTGTGCCCCCAGGCTTCTCAGGAACTTACCTTCTGGGAAAGAGATTCGGGTCTTTTGGTTTTGTTTTGTTTTTTTGTTTTTTGTTTTGTTTTGTTTTGTTTTTGCACAGGTGGTCTGCAGCGCCAGCCTGTGCCACCAGCTTTGATGCTGCTTGTAGCTCCCAAGATTACCTCAAGGAGGCGCGCTGCACCTGATACCTCGGCGAGAAGCGGATAGCCAGCCAGCCCTAATGCAATTCCCAGGGCTGCTGAAAGGTGGCGCGCGCGCCTTAAACAGCAGCCACTGTCCTTTCCCTACCCGCGCCCCCTCCCTGAGCCTGCCCACCAGCCTGGCAAGTGCCAGGGGTCATGAAAGTGTCTGCAGACTTGCCAGGAGAGCAAATGTTTTATAGACACAAAGCAGAGCTCTGTGTTTCCCCCAGGCAACAATTCAAAACCTTCGAGGAGTGTTAGTCCAGTCTAGCCAGACTCCTCTAAGAGTTGCGAATACTAGACAGGCCCCATCCTCATGGGGGCCCGAGGGTTGCCTTGCTAAGACATGGGGGAGCAGGTATTTAGTGTTTGCAGTTTCTTCATCTACCAAATGGAGAGTGACTGTAGCGTCAAGTCCGGGGCTTCTATCCCGGCATGGCATAAGCCACGTGTGGTAGGGCATGCCTTTATCCACAGGAAACAGAACTCACAAGTTTAATAAGGTCATCTTCAGTTTCATAGCATGTTTGAATCCAGCCTGAGCTACAAGAAACGTTGTCTCAAAAGTGGGGCCTGGGGTGTACGCTCGCGTTGGCCTGGAGTGAGAAGGCCTGGATTAGCAAAACCAATGATCCCGTGGACCTGTAAGTGACACAGTCAGCAACCGCATCGTCAGTGCTAAAGACTGTGTGTCTATCCACAAGGATATGGTCGAGGTTGACGAGGTCACAGGCGAGTTCAATGGCCAGTTTAAAACCAAAGAGACAGCTCATTGGTCAAGAGCACTGGCTGTTCTTCCAGAGGACCCAGGTTTAATCCCAGCACCCACACAACAGCTCACAGCTGTCTGTAACTCCAGTTCCAGGGGCTGCAACGCCCTCAATACAGACATACATGCAGGCAAGAACACCAATGCACATGAAATAAGAATAAATAAATAAAATTAAAAATAAAACCTATGCTGGGGAGAAGAGCAGTTAAGAGCACTTGACTACTCTTTCAGAAGACCTGAGTTCAATTCCCAACAAACCTCATGATGGCTCACAACCAAATGGAATCAGATTCCTTCTTCTGGTGTGCATAAAGACAGAGTACGCATATACATAAAATACAAAAATAAAACAGGCATTAGTGGCACACCCCTTTTAATCCCAGCACTCAGGAGGCAGAGGCAGGCAGATCTCTGTGAGTTCGAGGCCAGGCTGGACTGACAGCCTCCAAAACAATACAGAGAAACCCTGTCTCGTAAAAACAAACAAAACAAAACAAAAAGCCTATGCTATCTGAGAGATGGGCGAGGCAGGTGAGTTGACTCTCCAGTTGGCTAAGGCTGATGGAGCAGTCTAAAAGAACTTTTCACCAGAGGAAATAGAATGTTTGTCTAAATAGTGAGAAACTGCCAGGCAGTGGTAGCGCAGGCCTTTAATTCCAGCACTCAGGAGGCAGAGGCAGACAGATCTCTGTGAATTTGAGGCCAGCCTGGTCTATGTTGCAAGTTCCAGGACAGGTTCCAAACCCCATCACAGGAACACCCTCCCCCCAGCCACCACCCCCGAGGATGGGGGTGGGGGGTGAGACGCCTCCCGGGTTACAGGTGTTTGCTGGCACCTTAAGACCCATGTGGTGGAGGGAGACAATGGAGGAGACTTTCGCTTTGTCTGCTGCGCATGCTGTGGGTGCCCACACATATCCACTCGGGCACAGAATACATAAGCAAATAAAAGCTTTAAAGACAAGGTCTCTCTTAGCACTTGGGAGGCAGAGACAGGTGGGTCTCTGTGAGTTCAAGGCCAGCCTGGTCTACAAAGTCAGCTCCAGGACACAGCCAGGCTGTTACATAGAGAACCCCTGTCTCAGAACACACACACACACACACACACACACACACACACACACACACACACACAAAAGGAGAGGGTCTCACTATGACCAGGCCTGGGCTGAACTGACATACCTGGGAGTAGAGAAATTCCCCACCAACTCCAGCCCAAATAAATACCTTTAGTTCTAGTACTCAGGGGTTCCAGGCTAGCCTGGTGTACATAAGGAGTTCCAGACCAACTGGAGCTGCATAGCAAGAGCCTGTCTCAAAATAAACGGATAATAGATAATTTTAAAAGCTTTAAAAAAGATTTATTTAGTTTATGTATGAGTGTTTTGCTCAAATTCATTTCTGTGTACCATTTGAATGTCTGGTGCCCTTGGAGTTCAGAAGAGGACACCAGATGCCCTGGAACTGAAGTTACTAATGGTTATGAACCACCACTTGGCTGCTAGGAATGAAACCCAAGTCCGTACAAGAGCAACAAGTCAGGCGGATCTCTGTGAGTTGGAGACCAACCTGGACTACCAAGCGAGTTCCAGGACAGCCTCCAAAGCCACAGAGAAACCCTGTCTCAAAAAAACCAAAAAAAAAAAAAAAAAAAAAAAAAAAGAGCAACAAGTATTCTTAACTGCTGAGCCATCTCTCCACCCCAATAAAACCTTTTTTTTTTTTTTTTTTTGGTTTTTCAAGATGGTGTCTCTGTGTCTCTGTGTAGCCTTGGCTATCCTAGAACTAGTTCTGTAGGCCAGGCTGGCCTGGAACTCACAGAGGTCCGTCTGCCTCTGCCTCCCAAGCACTGTGATTAAAGGCATATGCCACCATTGCCTGGCAAATAAACTTTAAAAGATGTTGGTTAGAGCCCTCTAAGGAAAATAAAATAATAAATAAATAGATGAATGCATTTATTCTGAAAGATCACAGTGAGGCCAGCAGCTCGAATTGTTGTGTTGTAGCTATGTTTGCATGAAGAACTGACTCCACACTGTGGAAACTTGGCAGTTTTGGAGCTAGCTACCTTGCCTTGGTTCTCTACCTCACTCTGTAGCAATCTGCCAGCTGTTAGCACACCCCATCTAGACTTCACCCGCTTCTAAACACGTGGGGAGCCCCCCTTTTACAAAATCCTTCATCTTCCTGTCATGCCCCTTGAACTCAGGGTCCCTGTGGAGGTCTGAATCCGGGCAATTCCCGACTTTGTTTAGACCTCTCTGTGGCTTCCACTTCACAGGCCTTCCTCAGAGTCAACAAGACTTCCCCCAATCTGCCCCTCAACTTCTGCTCCAGTCACACTGAACGGCTCCGCTTCAGGAGCCTGCTCAGGTGACATCGCTAACGGTACACCTTCCCATTCCTCTCTCATTATTATTATTGTCCATGTCAAACGTACGAGAGGCGTGCATCTTTGTCTGTCCCTGTTATGGGACAACCAGTCCGTTTCCCTTCCTTCTTTCCTGTCCCTGCCGTCTTTGGCTGTGTCCTACAGACGATGCTCTTATTTGGAGAATCAGTCTGCTCTTACGAAGGGCCACTGTGGGCTGGGGAGCATCAGGCTGTAGCAGCAGGCACCAGTGTCCGGTTGGCGGTCGCTGCTCCGGGACTGCCGGTGGAGCGGCTAGTGTCCACCCTGTCCTGATGGGGAGATGAAAGTTCTGATGGGCTGGAGCTGCGATCCAGGCTTGGTGGCAGGCAGCGTCGTAGGCCACCACCCGAAGGCCCAGCAGCACTGGGGGATCGCTGCAAGCTGTTGGAGGAGCCCTGGCTACAGGGCCCTCGGCCACAGCAGAGCAGCCGCAGGAGCGCGTGGCGCAGGTCTCGGTTGGTGAACGTGTAGATGATGGGATTCAGCAGCGAATTAGCCATGGCTAAACCCAGGAAGGGGTCGGCCTGCAGGAGCACGGGACACGCGCGGGCTGGGCACGCCACATCCAGCAATAGCAAAAGAAACAGAGGCCCCCAGCAAACCACGAAGGCCAGGAGCACCACACTGAGCGTGCGGAGCAGGGCCAGCGATCGTGGCGTGTGCCGCGATCGCGAGGACGAGGTGGCCCTGCGGGACCCGGGCCGCGCCCGCAGTCGACGCGCGTTGGCTCGCACCTGGCAGTAAATCCTTGCATAGAGCGCACAGATGGCAGCCAGGATGCCCAAGAACGCCAGCACGCAGAAGAGCACGTAGGCCTTGGCATACAGAGGCAGCACGGTGGAGCAGGTTTCCAGGCGTCCCAGGCAGTTCCAGCCCAGCGCAGGCAGCAGCCCGAGCAGCAGCGACGCTCCCCAGGCGGCCACAGCCATCGCCAGCGTGCGAGCGCGACTGGCGGCGGGCGCGGGTCCTCGACGGGCCATAGTGAGGTGGCGCTCCAGCGCAATGGCCAGGAGGCTCAGCACCGATGCGGTGAGTGCCACGAAAACGCCCCCCTCGCGCGCGAACCAGAGCGCGGGCGACAGGCGCAGCGTGAGCGGTCCCGACAGCAGGATGTTGGTGGCGTAGGCCGCCCCCGCCAACAGGTCCGACAGGGTGAGGCTGCCCAGGAGCAGGAACATGGGCGCGTGGAAACGGGGGTGACGGCCCAGCACCACGAGCACCGCCAGATTCTCCAGCACGATGAAGGCGCACACAGCCAGGCACACGGCGGCATCTGCGCGCAGACCCGCGCCGGGCTGGTAGCGCGCCCCGCGGAGCTTGCCAGTGTAGTTGTAATGAAGGGCGATGACCTCGCTCACCGGCGCGGGCCGCAGCAGCCCGGGCTCCATGGGCCGCCCGCTACCAGAAGCTGAGAGGACGCTGCTGTGCTGCTGGCTGTCCGCCGGAGCACTGTGCGAAAGTCTACGGAAGGCAAGGACAGTCAGGATCTTAGAATCCTGGAGAAAGATCCCTGGAAACGGATCCCTAACCCCTGAGCCCTCCCACACACCAAAAGTTGTCCTTTGACTCTCCACACATGAAAATAAACAAAAGTCAAAAAAGGATTTGTTTTAAAAAAGAAAAACTAGCCATGGAAGCCACACCGCTGTGATCCCAGCAGTCCAGAAGCAGACAGGAGGAGTAAGGGGGTGGGTGGGTGGGCTTTTGGTGCACACCTGTTACCCCAGGACTTGACAGACGGAGGCAGCAGGATCAGTAGTCAATGCTATAATCAACTACATAGTTAACTCTGAGGCCAGCTTGGGTTCTGAGGCCCCATGTCAAGTTGATAAAAAGAAACTCCGGTAACACAAAAGCAGAGAGGCATCCAGACGCATACTCGTAAATAAAAGAGAATGCAAGAAATCACGGCTATACAGACAGCCTCAGACAGGGACGCGCAGATGAGGGCTCAGACACACAGCTCTGCCACTTTAGCTCTCAGGAAGACTGCGTGCTGGGAGGCCCTGAGCTCCAGTGTTGACGTCGTCTCTCCTCCAAAAGCTGCACACTCCCTCTTAACCAACCACAGAGAAAAGCGAGAATACATTTCTACACGAAACCTTCACACACAGATTCAATGGCAGAAGCCACCACGGGGGCTCACCCCTGGGAATGGTCTCACACCCAGTAGAGCAGGCCACAATTTCACAACCTCCACCCACAGCCAGCCTGGGGCCCAGTGCCCCACACTTCATGTGGTTTGACACATTTTGCTTGTTTTAAAAAAAGAAATGTCATTCTCTCCAAGACCCAGGGAAAAAGCTGGCTCTGGATGCTCATTGCAAAGTCAGAGCTGCAGGGCACAGCACCTGGGAACCCTGGGAAGAGACACCTGTCATTAAGTCACGATGACTCTTTAACCTGCCAGCCACCACTCGACACTCTCAGCGTGTCTTCCTTCAGTCCCGGTTTACAGATGAGCAAAAATGGGTTCCTAAAGAAATACCTTGCAAGGCTGGCGAGATGGCTCAGTGGGTAAAAGAGCTTGCACCCAACCCTAATGACTTCAGCTTCATGTCTGGGATCCACACAATGTAGAGAGAACCAGCTCCCACAACCTGACCTCTGACCTCTACATTTGGGTTGCGGCATGCATAGATCCACAGTCCCACCCAACTGTCCACACCAACACACACACACACACACACACACACACACACACACACCTTAATGAGATTAAACACTTTTTGGAGACATACTCTTACTATGCAACCCTGACTGGCCTGGAATTTAGCAACAATCCATCTGTCTCTGCTTCCCAAGTGCTGGGATTAAAAAGGTGTGCCACCATGTCCTCTAAAATTTTACAAAAAGAAATGCCTTGCACAGATGCCTTGGACTCAATTTAAACAAAGGCCAAGACCTCAGGTACCCCATGTTGGCCTCAAATTAAGCAGCTAAAAATCACATTGACTTTCCTTTTTTTTCTTTCTTTTCTTTTCTTTTTTTTTTTTTTTTAGACAGGGTTTCTCTGTATTGTTTTGGAAGTTGTCCTGGAACTTGCTCTGTAGACCAGGCTGGCCTCGAACTCACAGAGACCCACCTGCCTCTGCCTCCCCAGTGCTGGGATTAAAGGGGTGCACCACCACCCAGCTACATTGACTTTCTTTCCTCCTGCTTCTACCTCCCAAGTTAGGAGTTACAGGAGCATGCCACCACCCTAGTCTATTTGGACATGCATCCCGAGCTCTCTGCATACTAGGTAAGCCCTCCATCAACTGAGGCTCTCTTAGTTCCATTTTACGTATGAACAGAAGGAGACTCTAAAGAAATGCCTTGTATAAAAATAGACCCAAGCCTGGTGTGGTGGCGCACACCTTTAGTCCCAGCACTCAGGAGTCAGAGGCAGGCAGATCTCTGAGTTCCAGACCAGCCTGATCTACAGAGTGAATTCCATGACAACCAAGGCTACACAGAGAAACCTGTCTCAACAAAAAAGCAAACAAAACAAAAGTAGATCCAAAGATGTCCATTTCTCTCACAAACACAGTCCCACAAAAATAGTGACATACTTCACAGAAGTCCCTCTCAGCAAAAGAGAAAACCCAGGCCTGGGAGACAGATTCTCAATACCAGAAAGGCAAAGGGACAAAGAGGTTCCAGACAGCTTCAGAGTCACACAGGGGACAAGTTGGGAAGGCAGACAGACTTGGAGGTACTGGTTGGGTCACTCTGGAGAGACATCAGACACAGAGGCACGGGTTAGGCAGCATTCTCTGCTGCGGTACACTCAGCACAGGGTCAGGACTTTTGTATCAACACCCCGGTGACTTGACTTCCCTGGGAAGAGGAAAAGTTTGTAGGAGCCCAGCCAGGCTGAGCTGGAGGATTCCTGGGGTCCCCACTCTCTCCCAGCAGGGGTTTTCAGTTTTCTCCGTTCTGGGATCCTTAAGGGGAGGTTTAGGATAAAGGATATATAGAAACTCCACCAAGGAGCATTGTGCCCTTTCAGCCCCGTAGTAGCTCCAAGGAGTTGAGTCCCACTTCCTGCGAGGTCCCCAATACTGGACACTCACCTCTGCGCCCGGGTCATGCGCCCAGGGCTGTGCGCCTGGGAACACTGCACAGCTGCCACATGGGCGGGGCTGGAGGTGGCAGGCCTGGGGGCCGGCACTCGAGGAGGAGTGCTGGCGGTCGCCAGCAATTGCCCCCTCCCCCTCCCAGCCCCGGGTTGCCAGCCTGTGCCACCCGCCGCGGCACCGGAGAACGTCCCAGCGGTGACTGGTACCAGCAAGTCCTAGCTTCTCCCTCCGGTCCCCTCCCAGGGACACTCGGGGGTGGGAGGGCCCAGAATCTCGGGGAAGGGAGGGACTTTTCAGGTGAATCACATCCCTGCTCCAATTAAGGGGTTCAGTCTGTCCTCTGATGCCTGGACCCCTGAGCATGCATCCCAAAGACCCCTCAATGGCGCAGTACCTGGGCAGCGCAATTTATGAGCTACTTGGAGTGGGCGCGGCTGCTGAAGTCTTCCGAGTCCTCATCGGGTGCGGACAGGTCCCCTCTGCTCCAACAGCACAGGCCCCTCCCCCATTTTCCGATCACTTTCAAGGGGCAAGAGGGGGAGGGCGGTGCAAGCTGGATGACGATGGGAACTTCCAGGTCCCCAAATAAATTGGATCTGACTCCTCCCTCCCGCAGCCTCTGTCTCCACCCTGCTTCTCTCAACCTTTAAGATCTCAATCGCGGTATATAGCATTTGTTGTGTTTGAGGGACAATGATTTTGTTTTGTTTATTTGAGACAGGGTTTCTTTCTCTGTACAGCCCTTGCTGTCCTGGAACTTGCTCTGTAGACCAGATTGGCCTCGAACTTAGATTCTCCTGCCCCTGTCTCCCAAGTGTTGCTACTAAAGGTTGGGAACGGATTTGACCTGTCTTGGATACTTTTGAATAAGTAAGGTAATAAATGAATATCTACTTGCTGTCTCTCCTCTAAGGTCTATTTTTAAATTTCTTAAAATATGCTTATTTAGCCGGGCGTTGGTGGTGCACGCCTTTAATCCCAGCACTCGGGAGACAGAGGCAGGCGGATCTCTTGTGAGTTCGAGGCCAGGCTGGTCCGACAGCCCCCAAAACAATACAGAGAAACCCTGTCTCGTAAAACCAAAAAAAAAAAAGCTTGTGTGTGTGTGTGTGTGTATCTTGTGGTGTGTGTGGAAGTCAAAGGACACTTTGTCAAAGTTGGTTTTCTGCCCTCCCCCCTTGTGAGTCCCCAGGATTGAACTCAGGTCCTTAGGATTGGCAGCAAGTGCCTTTATGCACTGAGCCATCTCTCTGGCTCCTCTCAGAACTTCTTGGTATGTCTCTCTGTCTCTCTTCCTCCCTGTCTGTGTCGCTCTCCCACGCCTCTCCCAGGCCACTTCTCCAGCAGGTTAACCTCAGCTGGCTCTACACCCACCCCTCTTTAGTTCCCAAGAGATTCCTGCCAGGGTCCTGCTCTTCCAACCTCAGGCCAGCGGCCACAGTCTGGTTTTGGTGTCTGTTTGAGTGACCCAGTTGGCCAGATGTCAGGGGCGGGGTGAGAGGTGGGCACATATCAGAAGCCATAAGAAGGCCGGGGTGGGAGTGAGTCTACAGTTGTTCCCGGAGGGAGGAATAGCGAGAAGTCCCAGGCTAGCTCGTGCCACCTTTGTATGTGGCCTCTTTGGGGATCCTCAAGGCTCCAGGCCCAACTGTTCCCAGTGGGCAGAATCGCTCCTCCCAGTTTTAACCAATCGAAACCACTCGTCTGGGCAGCATAGCCAATAGGATGGTTTGGGCCGGACCTCAGGTACCCGGTTCCTCACAACTCCAAAGACCAAGCGTTTCTCTGGGTGTCGGGAAATGAGCCTTGCCTGGTAGTTAGCAGGCGCTCGACAAATGGCTTTCTTTATCAGAGGGGAAGCAGTGTGGGTGGTGATGCTTCACACCTCCCAGGCAACAATATCACCTCCTGTGAGCTCCACCAGACACCGCGAGACTTCCGCCTTGGTCCTTGGTCCCAGGCCCAGCGCCCTCTTGCAGACTGCTGGCTTTCTTTCCCACAGACTATGACTCTGCGGGACCCGGACAGATGTCATGAGTTCCATGGACCACTAATGCTCTGTCCCTCACTCCACACCAGGAGCCACACTTGTTACCACTGGAATTGTTCTTTCCCTTGCCCCAAAGCCTGCCTGGACTCCCTATGTCTCTCAGGCTAAGTATCCCACTCAGCCCCACCCACTTCCTGACAGCTTCCCACGAACCCTCTCAGTTCAGCCCTACTGACCTCCTTATTCTTCAAAGGTTTGGGCCACCGAGATGGCTCAGCCAGTAAAACGGCTTGCTGCGGGTCTACCAAACACTACCAAGCCTGAGCTTGATCCTTGGAAGGAGAGGCAACTCCAGAGAGTTATCCTCTGACAAGAGCACCATGGTGCTGGAGTACCTACACACACACACACACACACACACACACACACTCATCTCATGAGCACATAAACACATCTTACATGCAAACACACACACACACACACACACTGAATTCTAACACATAGAAGAGTAAAACCCTAGCTGGGCATTGGTGGCGCATGCCTTTAATCCCAGCACTTGGGAGGCAGAGGCAGGCGGATCTCTGTGAGTTCGAGGCCAGCCTGGTCTACAGAGTGAGTTCCAGGACAGCCTCCAAAGCCACAGAGAAACCCTGTCTCGAAAAACCAAAAAAAAAAAAAAAAATATGAAATTAGAGTCAGTTCCTTTGAAGCTGCTGAAATAGATATTTCAGGGTTCATTATTGGACAGTGACTGTGCATGCATCAGGGGTTCTGTAATTTTGAGTGTGGGTACTATTTGTCACCATTGTATCCCAACAGAGGAATTAGGAAGAGTGACAGCCGCACCCCGGGCATCCACAACACCGCACCCAGTTCCCACTCCTGCCCGTGGGTACAGCTAGAATCCAGCCCTGGCCCCTGCACTCCTGCCACAGCCTGCCCCCAGGCTTGTCCATGCCACTCACCGGCCCGGCCTGTTCTACAGAAGGTCCTCAGGTATGAAGGCTGCCACACCCATGCTGGGCCCACTCTCTGGGAGGCAGGGCTGGGCCTCACCAAGGGACCGCCAACAACCTGCATCAGAGCCAGAGGGATGCCAGGGGCCTGTGATTCTCGTCTTTCCACCTCCTTCTGCAGGCACCAATGTGAACAAGGCAGGAAGTGTGACCCTGAGTTTCCTACACTGGTCAGGGCTTGGGAGTCTGGAGGATGCTGGAAGGCAACTCAGGGTCTGCTCACACGCTTGGCTACCCAGCTGAATGCCTTCCACTCAAACAGCAGTGGTTGATTGTCACGTGCTTCTCTTTTACTTAGTTTGTGTTTTTCTGGGGGAGGGTATGTGCACCTCTGTACCATGGGTGTCTGTGGTGTCAAAAGACATCTCTCTGGGGTGGCTCTCCTTCCATGTGGGTCTGGTAGTAAAACTCAGGTTCTCAGCTTTGATAGAAAGCTGCTTTTGGCCGGGCGTTGGTGGCGCACGCCTTTAATCCCAGCACTTGGGAGGAAGAAGGAAGCAGATTTCTGTGAGTTCGAGGCCAGCCTGGTCTACAGAGCTACAGAGCGAGTGCCAGGTCAGCCTCCAAAGTCACAGAGAAACTCTGCCTTGAATCCCCTCCCCCCAAAAAGAAATCCTATCATTGTCACCTTCACTCAGCAATCAATTGGAAAGAGACCCAGTTATCACCAGAACAACACCAGAAACCCACCTGTCATAAACAACCCATCAGCATCAGCTGGCCTAGGGGAAAATAGGCTACTCTGATTGGCCAGGCTGAGCAGGCTGGGGGCGGGCTCTTCTCAAGGCTTGTGGACCCTCAAACAATAGTAAATTGCCCTCCGGCATCTGAGCTTAAAAGCCCACAGGCTCTGGAAGGTCAGAAGTTCAGGTCAAGTTGTTGGACTTGAGATGCCTCCCAGACATCGTGTGGTTCTCCTGAGTCATTGACCTGAAACATGCACACACTTGACGGCTTGGTGGCTCATATTGTTTTTGTTGCTTTTATGAAAACGTAATTCCATATTGCCTTGTGGAATACAATTGAGAATTGTAATTAATATGAGGTATCATTTCCCTACCCGGAGCTACCTGGCCTCCCTTTCCCTTCCTGCCTCGACTTGACACAGCTCAACTCCATTTGCCTTTCTTTCTTTTCTGTTCGTGTTGTTTTTTCAAGACAGGGTTTCTCTGTGTGGCCCTGGCTGCCCTGGAACTTATTTTTTTGTTTGTTTGTTTGTTTGTTTGTTTTTCCGAGACAGTGTTTCTCTGTGTAGCTTTGGAGACTGTCCTGGAACTAGCTCTGTAGACCAGGCTGGCTTCGAACTCACAGAGATTCGCCTGCTTCTGCCTCCCAAGTGCTGGGATTAAATGGAAATTATTTTTTAGACACAGTTTCCTTTTCTTTTTCTTTTCTTTTTTTTTTTTTTTTGGTTTTTCGAGACAGGGTTTCTCTGTGGCTTTTGGAGGCTGTCCTGGTCTTGTAGACCAGGCTGGCCTCGAACTCACAGAGATCCGCCTGCCTCTGCCTCCCAAGTACTGGGATTAAAGGCGTGCGCCACCAACGCCCGGCCACAGTTTCCTTTTCTTAAAATTACTTATTATTTTAATCATGTCCATGTGGAGGGTATATGAGCATGAATACATGTGCCCACAAAAGTTAAAGGTCAGAGATGTGAGATCCCCTCAAGCTGGGGTTACCAGCAGCTATAAGCTACCTGATGTGGGTGCTGGGAATCGAACTCAGGTCCTCAGGAATAGCAGTATGTGTGTAACCACTGAGCCACCTCTCCAGCCTCAGTATCCTGGAACTTACTCTGTAGACCAGGCTGACCTCGAACTCAGAGCTCTGCCTCCCACCACCTAGCTGGTTTTTGCTTGTTTGTCTGTTTTGAGACAAGTTCCCACTATGTAGCTGTGGCTATCCTGAAGGTCACTTACATATTCCTGCCTCTGCCTCCTGAGTGCTGAGACTAAAGTCTTGCGTGGCTAACCTGGTGTTCTCATGCTTCTTCGTTCATCTTTTTGCTTTGGTGAAAATAGCTTTCACAGAACTGAGAAGCAGGAGGAGCAGTTTTGATCCTTCCGTGTTGTGAAATGTTTCGCGTGGTTGGTCTTGACCCTGAGTCTATGCTGTGTGCCTGAGTGTACACCCGTAAGTGCTCCCGGACAAAGGAGAGGATGTCAACTACCCTGCTTTGCTGCTCTCTGCCCTGTTCCTGAATCTGGTGGCCATATGGGTCCTGCGGATCAGACTCAGGTTGTCAGATTTGGCAGCAAGCACCATTATCCACTGAGCCAGACCGAGTTCCCTGTTTCTCCAGTCTTGTGTCCCATGGTAAATGAGGCAGTGAGCT